CCCTACACGATATAAATTTATCAATATTTCCTTAACGAGCTCACACAGTCCAGTTAGTAATAAAAAAAAAAAAATATGTATCTACTGTGTCTACATCATGATAATAAAGTTATTTTCCAATGATTCATAGGTGGTAAAAATTTTGTTTTCTTTGATTTTAAGATTTAAACAATAGATTTATTCTATATTGATATTGCAATGTTTGCATACTGGTAATTCCCAATGTATTGCATTCATTTCCCGTACACAATATAAATTTATTAATATTCCTTAATGAGCTCACACAGTCCAGTTAGTAATAAAAAAAATATGTATCTACATCATGTTATAAAGATAATAAAGTTATTTTCCAATGATTCATAGGTGGTAAAAATTTTGTTTTCTCTGATTTTAAGATTTAAACAATAGATTTATTCTATATTGATATTGCAATGTTTGCATACTGGTAATTCCCAATGTATTGCATTCGTTTCCTGTACACAATATAAATTTATTAATATTTCCTTAATGAGATCACACAGTCCAGTTAGTAATAAAAAAAAATATGTATCTATCTACATCATGCATTTAAGAGAACAGAGATAAACTTTTAGAATTAACTGGTTAATATTCCAACTTTTTCACTATTATTTTATGACATTTTGTATGTATAAAATGGGCCAATGACCTAAAGTTATGTTGAATATTGAATTGAATTCCTTCATCAAAAAAGGCTCTTTGACTAGGACGCTTTTCAAGTTCTGCCAAGAGCTCAGTTGGTAAGACAATATATTTCTATCAATAATCATTTTCTTTATGTTCAAAAACAACATTAATATCAACTGACCTATTAGTTCGCCTTTCTCTTGAGACTGAGTCCCTAATTGCTGCTGGTTCCTTGCCATATCGCCAGTCTTACCAACAGCTGAAAAATATTAAAATTGTAGTGTTTTAATAGACTTTCTTCAATAAACCAATATTTGAAAACTATTTACCAATTTAAATTTATAGTATTTATATTATTATTATCACTTTTATAACAATTATAAAACAGCTCATCAAATATTTTGGCCTGCTATATACAGCCTATACAATGCCAAGATATTTCAAGTTGATATTTAGACCTACCTATGTGGTATAATTTCCAGCATAGCATACAGTAGATACCAAACCATTACAATAAATTACAATACACAGACCATAGCATCAATGTTATTATTTTGGATATTACACTAAACAGGTTTGAATGGTTAGTCAAAAAACAGACAAGAATACAAACCTTTAGACTACATTTTTATCTTCGAAAAGTGCAAAAAAACAAAATTTTCCAAGTATTATATTTGTGAACACTTGAGTTAAAACTACACTGGTTGTCTAGCATTCAGTGATAACACTGAACACGGCAAACTCTGTATGGCTCCTTATTTTGTATTACAGTATAATCAAGGTGTTATTTCCATATACATTGGAAATTCCCAACGACCAATTTTGGACTTTCCCCAATTACATGCATAGATATTTACATAACAATGAGCTATCTCAATACCCGTGTCGATTGCTATAAATCTAGCAGATGGCCATTGTTGATATAATTTGCATTACTTTGTACATACAATATGTGGTGGGCCATATGACACCTAAACATGTTTTCCAACAACTTCCCCATCTTTTTTTTTTGGGCCATCCTTTTTCAAAAACATTCACTAGGCAAAAATCTAAAATAATGCAACAGAAACTTAAATATCATTATGAGAAATATATCTTTTTTTTGTTCTAACACTTTTGAATTTTGGTTCACCCTCCAATTTGAGACCCCTCTATTTCAAGACCAGTCTTCCAAAATACCAACAATCTTCAATCTTGTCACATAAAACTAACCCTATAGAGTACACAGTCGTGACGTCACGACGCCAGGTGGCGCTCTTTGTTGTCAACAGACGTCACCGTCCATTACGCCTGAATGACTTCATATGTTTTCTGGAATAGGCATTTTAAAATCTAATATTTTCCCCTTAAAAATGTACTGAAAACACAAAAGCTTGCATTATATTAGTTACCAAACACGCATTTAATCATCATTTAAAATTTACAAAAAGAAAGTATAGAACATCTTAATAATTACGTTAGAAATTGGGATCAATGGTCATTGAAGAAAATGGCGTCCGGTTGAACACTTTTTGCAACGATAGCAACGGAGTAGTATCACATGGTATCGTGACATAACACTGTAGTACTCTATACAGTGCATGCTCCAATTTGAGACCACCTTTTTCAAGAACCAAACAACCATCTATCTTCAAACTATCAAGACTAAGTTAACCCTCTACGTGAAGACCAAACCAGTGGTGGATCCAGGAATTTGGAATAGAGGGGGCCCAGGGAAAGACTTTCATATAGGGAGATCTATACCACCTCAGCCCCACTATGGTTGGGGAGGTCAGGAAATTTATGATTATGGCACCTCTACATAGGTGGAAATGGCACTCTCAGACTTCAAATTTAAATACAGTGTAATTTTCTTTTTTTCCATTTTATTTAATAATTTTGACAAATTTAGGTGGCTGATCCCTAAGACATCCCGAAATTAGTCTGAAATTGGAGGGTAAACAAACTGTATAATCAAGTTGAATTTTACGATTGTTATAATAATTACCATTATTATCATCGTTATTATTAAATTAATACTACTGACAGCCCATGGGTCTTATGCAAGACATAAAATTGTTTCACTTTACCTGCTTTCCTTTGTTCGTGAGTGGCATTTCCAACCAAGGTACAGAAGTTGGATGCATCCGTGACGTCATCATACTCCATTCGATAATGTTTTTTATCCGGTAAAATGAATTCATGAATTGTGTTATCTATTTCTTTGAACTGTAAGCTGGCCACTGATGAGTGTAATACCACCTGTAATACAAGATTTGAATTCAATTCAATGGCGGATCCAGAACGGAGGGTATTTTACAAACGGAAGTTCCAGAGGGGCTGAGACAGAAATATTATGTCTATGGAACCTCTAGATGGCCAGAAATGGAATTCAAATATTTTTTTTCTTTATAAATCTAGGCCCCCTATCCAATTTTCAATCTTCAATTTACTCATACATATTGCTGTAACATAAATGTGGAGTGACGCCTCAAGATGCTTACGCTAGATGCAAGTCAGCCCGCAAAAAAAAAACTACAAATATATTTATTTATATTCAGAAGTAGTGTTCAAGGTGCTTTTTTTCCCCTAATCATTGGATACAAAATCAATCATACACATTGTACAGCCTTCACCACTTTCTGGAGGAGGTGTTCTTTTATTTTTTGTTATGTAAATTCCCTTTCCTCTTTAATCATATGAAAGTAACTTTCGATAATCTACCAACCGAGCTATGAAGCTAAGTGGTATAAAATCTTGGATTCTCCCAGTAGGACATGCAATGAATAACAGTACTGTAATTCACATGAAAGTAAATTTGGCATGGAGATATACCTCCAACCTCCACTGGTGTTGAATAAAGATAGTAATAAATATTTGAGAAAACGTATGTCCCCATCGGGATTCGAACCCAAGACCTTCCGATTACTGTTCAGATACTCTACCAACTGAGCTATGAGGCCAAGTGGTATACACCCTTGGGTTTTCTCATTAGGAAAACAACGAATAATAGTAAATCATGCGAAAGTAACTTTGGTATGGAGATATACCACCACTGGTGTTTAATTAAAGATGATAATGAATATTTGAGAAAAACGTATGATTCGAAACCCAAGACCTTCCGATTACCATTCTGATACTCTACCAACTAAGCTTTAATCAAAAAACAGCAATTAATTTAAGCACGAGAAAAAACTTGATAAGGCGAGTTTTTATTTATATCTTTCACAAAAATATTTTTTTTAAAGAACATCAGATGTGGTTTGGAGATTTCAAGGCAGCAGCTGGCGTACTGAAAATTTAGAAAAAAAATTTTTTTCTTAAATTTCCATTTTTCCACAGAAGTGAATGTGCTAATTAGCCAAAAATAATTTTTTTTAAAATTTGAAATCATCATTATTGGTAGGCAGATATAAAAAAGTTCTTGTCAAAGCTAAAAAGGTTAATTCAAGAAACCAATGTTTTAAAATCTATATAACAATGAAATAGAACATATGGTTGATTTTAAATGTCTATGAAAGTAGGATGCGCCGATACTTTTCATGATTACATTTTGTGAAGATGAGGTTGGTGACAAAGATGCTAATGATAAATAGTAATAACCTTGATTTGGAAGTAAAAATATCATTGCTAATAATAGAAGTCTTATACTCCTTGAAAAGAAAACTAACATTTTTGGCTTGAGATGCTCTTAAAACAAATCCTTTCGATACATCTAAAAATTGCAAAACAACATTAGCTATTCGGATCCATCCTTTGGTTTCATGTTTGAGCTTGAGACAACCTGTTGCAGACCCAAGAACACTGTAAACTTCCTCGGATTGTAGTGGCAGTCCCATCACAACCAGGAAGCTGAAAATATAAATAAAAAATGCCATGTATATATCATTACTCAGGTCTCACTTAGACTTCCTCATCAAAAAGACCAAAACCAGAAATATACACAGGTTAGAATTCTGAAAAGTTGATGTGCTAAACATAATCAATCTCTAAGCCTTGTCTATAAATGTTCATCAATGACAATCAATCACTGAGACACATGCACTTCATAAATGAATCCATAAGCATTATTCTTTTTAGCATACTATACCATAGGCCTATTTCATTTTCAGGAAGTTTATTAATTGTTTGACCATAACCCATTACAATCAGAAATTTACAAATACAATACTTTTATTGCAAAGTCAGACAAAGCGATATTATATTATAATACTATATTATAGCCCCTCTGCTCGATGATCAGTTGAGGGGAGCTAATTTGCAAAATAAGGTGATTTTAGGTGGTTTTAACTAATTGACCTTGATTTTTGGAGGAACGACCGTGACTTTTGCGGGGGACAACTGGGGGATGCGAGTTACTCACAGCGAGTAATTTTTGGAGGGGCATGTGCGCCCCGCGCACCCCCTAGGCCCTAGATATGCCACTGTGCCTAGGGTTAGAACCTCAATCTGCTGGACAGTGGGCCTCACTTACACCAAGTAGAGCACATGGACCTTTGATGGGTTGAATTAATGTTCTCACTCTGATTCATGCACTAGCCGGAACACCTACCTACGCTACCCTACCTAGGCTAGGCCCTGGATCACGAGTTCACCGAAAGCATCCACAATTCAATATCTTGTTGTAGGCTCTTAGTGTTACTTAAATCAATGTTCGTTACCACCACTAATAATATAATAAATTGAACAATAAGCATTCAGTTGAAAGTACATTCTAGAATACACTGCATCCTACATTGCATTTACTCAATCAACTATAAATAGGTTTACAAAGCATACATAACGATCTGGATTTTCCAGTTTTCATTTCCACTAGATTTTGTTTACGCACCTACAATGGCACAATCAATCAGGCCTGCAAAATTAATAGAGGGCGTGCGCAATGATGGTTTGTCATCTCCATAATCAGGGAACAGGGAAATTACTAATTCACTGTCCCTGCCATAACCAATCAGAACTAAATAGTACTGAAAAAAATCACAAGATCAACTTCCACTAAGTCACAGAATCCTCCCTTTTTAATGATTTACCGACGTTTTACTATGAAAATCTATAAATTAGTTTCTTATTTCCTTTCATTTGAAATTAACACTCGTTCTTTCAGTTTTTCCGAGTCAACAATCCTATATACTACATGGATTTTTCAAAATCCAAAGAGATGAACCCTACTATACATTCTTTTTTAATAGTAACTGTACCTCGGATCGGCTGTAGGCCTTCAATATTGGAGTTTTTTTTTTTGTTTTTTTTTTTTTGTTTTTTTTTTTTTTTTTTTTTTGGTGTTTTACAGACTCCACTACGGGAGTATATTTATGTGATTCAAGATAATTCAAAATCACAATTGTGTCGTATATGGTAGACTCGAATGGCACCTGTTATAATAAATGCCATCACGCGTTTATGAAACGTTGACAAAATTCTAATAAAAAATATATAGTTGCTTACACACAATTTTGAAACAAAAGGAGTGCTATATGTGGAATCCTACATACAGGTGATGGTTAGGTTTTTATTTATATACATTTTTAATGGATATGCTAGAGACAATGGTTGGTAAAGGATGATATAACCATGGACCTATTAATTAATAGGTCCATTATATAACATTAAAAACCGATAGTATGGTTTGTTAATTATTTTTTTAAACGAGGAATTTATTTTTAATTGTATTTTGAGGTTTTCTACATTTTCATTGGGTCAGGTCTACCTACTAGTAATTTCCAACCGATGCCCGGGTATAAAGCTCATATTCCCGCCGTTATTGTACCGCTAATCGTAATTTGTGTTGAATTGATGATAAAGAATTAGTATAGGCCTACTTAGCAAAACGTTTAACTGCCGTCTGAATAAATATTTTTGTCTGAAAAAAACACCACAATTCAATTAAAATTTTGATTAGTTCATTTGAAGGGATTCTTATATACTTCCAACCAATGCATATTAAACAAAATTAGTTTTCACTGGTTTTTCAGACGAGTACTCTGCTACTACAAAAAACTTAAATTACTAGCAAAAAATAATAAAGGGCGTTTTTGGGTGCATGCTGGAGTGTCAACAAGACGCGACACCAGCATGACATCCTACTCCATGCCAACTTTCCGTTAATTATCAGGGACATTTTTTTCTCATACAGATTACAGATTTTTAATTGCCAGTTAATATCTTACTTAAATATAAAAATTAAGCAATTAAAATATGGAATAGAATTTTTCATTTTTTATTCTTATATATTATATTCTTTATTTGGAAACGACACTTTTACAACAGTGGCACTCGTACGTAACGGTGTGTCCAAAGAAAAACAAAGCCAAGCAAATCAAAACATAACACATTAACAAACTTAATGAAAAACAAAATTAAATATTACAACGAAAACTAAACAACAAGCTTATCCATTAAGACACAAAATCCCATCACTAATTTTTAGACTGCATCCCAAGAATTTTTTAATTAGGGTGGGCCGCTCCCGGGTGGTTCTTAGCTTGTGATAATTTTTAAAACATTGAGGAAGATTTTTGCACTGTTATTAAAGATCTTGTACCAAGGCAATTCAACAATGTACTGTTACAGTATCTTTTACTGCATTGACAGGTAATAATAATAATATGCAGAAATTTATAACGCGCCAATTCAAAAAACATTATCAAAGGCGCATTACCAAAGGTATCAAAGGTATAAAAATAGAGCGTTCTGTAGAGGGCGATATAATTAGCTTCTACCTTAGATACAGAATGATATACTGCTTCCCACAATTTTTAGAAATCCAGCGCATTAGAAGAAATAATAATAATACAAAAAATTTAATATTATACTAATATTATATTATTTGGTAATTACAATTAAATAAAGAGTTTTTAATATTTTTAAAAATTCAGTATATTTATTGGATAAATATAAAACTTACAATTATATTGGTTTGTTTAAAAAATGTTATTTGGGTGGTTTATGTACATCTAAAACCAAGGTAAGAATCAGCTGAATTTTTGAAACGGAGTAAGGTCTCTAAATTTTCTTGCGATTAAAGTGTTTGTATCTGCTGTTGATAGGATTGTTGTAAGTTCAAATAAGTTTGGATAATACGAGGAAGTATCTTTCATAAGAGTTGTGTCATTTTAGTTATTTAGCTTTGGCAAAAAACGTTGTATACTTTACATACAAATCGTAGGCCAGGCTAACCCCGGTCAATCAAGGACATTTCCTGTTTCCAAACAAACTAAGCTAAGCAGTGTTGATTCGATGGCGCTCAATGTTGTGTCCCTCCACCATCAACAAAAGGACAGCGATTATTCTTTATCGTCAAGTTTTTTATCACGAAACTCTTTAATGCATTGTTTTAGTAGTTCGACACACAACATTATTTTTTTCTAAGCTGTTTGTATCCAACCTTAATTTTCCAAGTGATTGATTCCTAATTTTAAAAATTTTAGTCAGCAACCAATCGGACGACTTGCCATCGATCGAGTCTTCTCAGTCAAGCAGTATCATTATCAGAAGATTCGGCTTACCATTGCACTAATCAGAAGCCTATACTAAGCCTACCAAAAAAGAGGAATAATTTATTTAAGTTTCTGTTATCAAGGTTTAAAAATGAAGCTTTTGGACAACTCCAAACTTGAAGCAATCAGTGAAGCACTGACTGTTGAGACAGGTGATTGTAAAATATCAGGAAAGTAAGTAAAATATTAAATGATTTTAATTTTGTTTTTGGTCTGTTTTTAAAAACAGGCATTGTTGGGCCTAGGCCTTGTTTAACTGATTTTTTTTTTTTACTGTATTAAGATTCAAGTGGCCTCACATTAAAATATTAATTAAGCACAGGGCCCAGAGGCAGCGTCAGGATTTTCCCAACGGTGGGTGCTGGTGTCCCCTACGTGGGCGTGACAAGGTGTCATTCAAAATTGTTGTAAAGTGGGCCAGGGACGAACGAAACTCCCAAAAAATATGACAATTTAGGGGTTTCAAAGGCTTATTTAATCGATTTTAGTGTCTATAATAATATGTAGAAAATACTTTTTTTTTAATAGATAAACTGACTTTTCTTTGATTAAAACTTTATATTATATATTTTTGGAATTAACACATTAAATCATTGTACTGGTTAAAATGCATTCTATTTATTGACTTGCAGAGTGGAAAGCTATTCTTGTAAGATGGCTGGCAACGATAAACGGTTGTTCAAGTTGATAAGCAGTGAGAATGGCCAGTCACCGAATGATCTGCAGGCTCTCTCCCCTCCCCAGTCGGGATTCTCACTCAGTCCAGGCCAGATGCTGCAGCTAAGCAACAGTAACAGTGGAGAGGAAGCTTCAGGACCGCTATGTCATACTTGTAGTCGCAGAATGATATTCTATTTGATCGCTACACTGAATGCATCATTTCATCCAGATTATGATTTTAGGTGTGTTTTAAATTGTTACTTTAAAGTTGTTGTACTTTACAACATTATTTAGCTTTTGAGGTTTAACAAGAACCAGTGCTTGAATGTGTTAAGGTAACTCTGGTGACAGTACACTGAAACTTTTTGTGAAAAATCTTTTTAAATAATAATTTTTATCCTTTGTTTAGTGATGCTAAGAGTCACGAGTTCAGCCGCGAGCCCAGTTCAAATTGGACTGTGAATGCTGTTGATACCAATTTATACTCCGTTCTTGGTGAAATGTACACAGGGCTCAAGTCTAAACTCTGGTCAGCTATCAATGATGAGATCCAATTAAATGAATGCGAGGTCTACAGGTAAGAATTGTGAAGGAAATCTGAATTAGAAATGTTCATTTTGTATGCCTGGCATTACCTGTATTGTAATTCTTACTTATTGTACAGTTGTTCTTAAATTTTTATGAGGAAAAAAAACACTAAACACCTTCAGTCTTTGAAAAAACACTATAAATATAGGTAAAATAATGTCCATACTGCATTTTTTATCATCGGGAATGGATAATTTAACTTACCAACCAATCAAACACAATATTTAAAGCCAGGCTTTGGAGGAAAATTAAATTGTTTTTATTAGCTTTTCTTCTTTTATATAATTTATGATATATCTAACCTGATATTTCACAACTTATTTTTATTTTGCATATCCAGTTACAACACAGATCTTGAATCGGATCCATTCGGTGAAGAGGGCGTCCTCTGGTCATTCAACTACTTCTTCTACAATAAGAAACTGAAACGAATTCTGTTTGTTACCTGTAGAGCCACCAGGTATTCATTGCTGTTGATGATGTGATCATGAAATAGATTTTAGGTGATCATGTAGATATGAAGTGATTAGGTGACCTAGATTTTGAATGATCGTAAAATAGGTTTGAAGTGAACCTGTGATAGATTTTAAGTGATTTTGTGGTAGATTGTAGTTTAAGATGTTTATTTAAGTGATCATGGAATGGATTTTAGGTGGTCATTGATTACATTTTATTTATGAGGCTGTGATATATTTAAAATTATCAAGAAGCAGATTTGATGTGATCATATGATCAAGTAATTTTAGATAACAATAAATGTATTGGATGTGAGGGATATACAGTATTTTATAAAGCTAAACAAAACACTTTACCAGCAGTTAGTAATTTTAGTGAATTAATGTACAGGTACAGTAATGGTAATAAATTGTATGATCAAATAATTTTAGATAATAATAAATGTATTTGTCTTGTAATTAACAAGTTGGATGTGATAGAAATATGTTATAAAGCTAAAAAAAAAACACTGTACCTGCTGTAATAATTTTAGTGATTTAATGTCAATTGTAATAAATTGTAATATTAAAATAATAGGTCTCATTTAATAAATTAATAATAATAAATAAATGTAGTAACATTTTGGGACAAGATACTTTTCCATTGGACTGACACCTTGACGAGGTGGAAAGGCTTGTGAATCTCACTGATCTGTAGAGCTATGCCGGCGGTAGCCTAGCTACCGGTAGGGTCTCCCATGCCGGACAGGTTGCACAGGTAGAGATCAGACCAAGTTCAGTCCTAAACAACTGTTCACATTTTATTTTTTGTATTTTAAGCAATTGTAAAGTGTAGTTTTAAAATTAAATTTTAAAATTAAATATCAAGGTGAAAGCTTTCCAATTTAAAATAATTTTACTTAATAAATAGTTGCTTAAAATGTGTACAGAAATGCAGATAGGAAAAAGGTGAGAAAGAATGATACTGCCTTGTATTTTATGGTCTATCGTTCAATAACTTAACTGTACATTTATATACATGTACTTCATTCCTCTCATTAATTTTGTTTTAGGCAACATTTAATTTTCTTTATACTTACTCTGTTTTAGTAAATCTGCTATTGCCAGTGGGGATTCTGGGATTGGCTTTGACCTGCATGCAGATAATGATTATGATGACCTTTACGTGGAAGACGAGGACGAGTATGAAGAATATAATCTCGGACAAAGGTAAGATTTCCCTTAATTTTCATATGAATATTAAATGATAGATAAACAGCATGTGTTTTTCACATACTATGTTCATTAAATTATGTAGTCAGGGATAATTTGAGACATTCAAATACAGTATTGAAGTAAGGCCCTATAAAACAAATTAATAGTTTATCATCCTATCTAGGCTGGAAAAGTGATGAGGCATGGAGGCTTTTTATTTTTTATTTTCCTAAAGCCAAATATCACCTGTGGGTTATTTGTTGGTGCGTTGATATTTCAAGAAAATAAAGAGCTTGAGAAAATAAAAAGCAGAAAAAGAAAAATTTTGAAAACAATAACTGAACTGTATTCTAATCTGTTTAACCATAGCTAGCTTGCTTTGGTTTAACATTTCCCGAATATATATTGTAGTGTTCTAATCTTTACAAGTGATTAGTTTGCGGTTATGCATTGATGTCCTTGACATCGTTTCAATATACCATCCACGCTTCAGTGATGGTAGTCATTCTGTAATCCTTGTTCTAATCACAGATCCTATTCATTTCCTATTTATGGTAATAACCTTCTTCTCCCGGATTCCTGGAAGAAACTGGAAATACCCTAATTTGTTTACAGGACTAACCTTGTGATTTTCCCCCTAAGCTAAGCTTTGAATGCTGAGCATTTACAGTACCAGCAAATTGCTTTTTTTAAAATTATTATTTTTTGCTGTTTATTACTAAAGTGTTTTAGGATATTTTCATTTACAATACTGAATAAGATCATCAGCATGTAATACTTTAAAATTTTTAATGTTCTTGTTTCAGGTCAACAACTGCAGTGAATTAGATACTGATGGCACAATAATGGGATGTAGAAGATAGGCAATTGCGATAGGACAACAAGCTAGGCTTTATGCTGTTTTATATTATTATCAATATTTTAAATGCACGATTACCAATCGCTTTCAGTAGATATTGCAGTTTTGTGAATTTTCAGCTTAAAATAGTTTGATGTTATTTTTTGGAATTATTAATCTAACAATGTTCATTTTAAATCTGTCTGTAAGGCTTTATTGATATATCCGCGGCAGCAAAATTGAGTTAATTCAAATTGTTGACGTGTCGTGTTGCTCATGTACAGTAAAAAATTTTATCTCAAGATGTACTGTAACACTTACAGATATTTTATAAAATGATGTTGACAATAATATTAATAGTGTTGAACCTAAAATGCATATTGTTGATCATGAGACCACTACTACTTGACATAACAAAAATAATAGTGTCCAGCCAAAAACAGCCTGTCTTTCTTTAATGACCACATAAAACAATTTTAAACACAAGATAATTCGGTTGCCTGACCGTCAAGCTAAGCGTACATTGTCTTTGCAGCTCAACTGATATTTAGCAACTGGACAGCAACTGCAAATCGTGCAATTTGAGAAGACATAAGCACACAATTTGCAATTCTAGTTGCACAATCTTGGCTAAAGGTTGACATAAGTGCTACCAGTAACTAATTAAGTCTGTTCAATTCGCAAGGGTAACACACTACACTGTAAGCTTAGCTTTTGATTGTCAGTTCATTTATTGCATTAATACATTAATGCTTTTCAATATTATTTCAGAGTGTACAGGCAAATTTATTTTCGTATGTATAACAATTGTTGGTCTTTTTTCACAGGTTTCTGCACATATTGTAATTTAGTGGTTGGTGAATTGATCATATTAATTACACTGTTGTGTTCGTAATGTGTGGTTTTTATATATACTGTACTGTAATAGTTGGATAGTACAGTACTACTTTTTACACCAGATCATTAGACTTGTATATACTTGTGGAGTTTGTATACTTATGTATTTATATTATCACTTGAGTCTAAAGTAAAATTTGAGGGAGACCCATGTGTAATGAAAGGGATGGTTGTTAGAATTAAAAGAATGTAAATTTTGTAAATAACTGTTTAAATTTGGAGTTACATATATTGTAAGAAACTACCCTGTATATAGCTATTCGATACATGGTCCTTACTTTGCCAAATCACTTGGTGATGTTGAAGTATACTCATGTTTATTTATGATCTATGAACTTTGATATATGACCTATGACCTCTAACATAGGTTGTTTGCAAATGTTCAGATATTTTGCCACTTCACTATTTAAACACTAATGACTTGTAGAAACAGTGCAATAATACTTACAGCTTAAATATGAAAGACAATAACAAATAACCTTTTCTTATCTATTGCTTATGGACTGTACATAGCCAAGGAATACATTAGAGCAGTTACTTTAGTAAGATGTTAAATTATCTCTGGTGGATCCGGAGATGTCTAAAGGGGGGGGGGGGCTGGTCAAAACAACACTACCCTAGGGGGGTAGTGTTGTTTTTGTTTTCTATACGCCCAAAAAGAACCTCTGAGGCATTTTAGGCGATAATTTTTTTTTTTATCTTTCTTTTTTTTACTTTCCAAAGGTGAAAAGTTTCCCCCCCCCCAAATCTGCCCTTGATTATGGAAGGTAATTAGAAATGTCAAGGATTGTTCCTTGCATAAACTTTATGTAGTTGTTGAACAATATGCATGCTTCTTGTTTGGTTTGATTCTGTTGTGTGCCCTACTCAAATCTGTGATTACAAAATGTTTTGGTTTTCTGTGGCTTATGTTATCTATCGGTTTCATAACAACAATTTATTTGGAATTTCACTTTTGAAATGGATTATAAATATGTGGCACCCTGAGATGTTATTTATAGCACCAGCTTTAAATATGTAACATCTTGAAGTTATGTACAAGCTGGTGCTATAAATAACACCTGGAGATTATATTTATAGCACCAGCTTTAAGTATGTAATATTTTTGAAGTTTCTGAGTGCTGCCTTCTATTTTGTTATTGTTGAAACTAACACAGTTATACTGTACAACTACATTTCTCACTTTTGAAACAGTGGTATTCGACACTTATTATTAAAATGTTCCTTGGGAATGTTTATTTCTGTACAAGCTAACATAAGTTGATTCACAACATGTTTACACATGTGATTATATTTAATACTGTACTGATTAAAGTTATTGCTTCTTCAGAGAATTGCAGTATGTATTCATTTAGTCTTACTATTGTTTCCCTGTATTTAGGTGTGACTTTTTTTATACCTTGTTTTTTAAAGATCGTTGGAGGAGGGCGGAAAAAAATATTAATAAACTTTTGTTTTTTAATTAGCAAAGAGTTTTGCCAAAAACATCCAGATGTAGGAGAAAATAAAAATAACATTTTATTGGTGTATGTAAACCGTGTAGTAATGGGATAGTTACATGATGTAAATTTACCTAATTAGGAAAAAAACATACATATCTTACTTTTGTAAATTTCAAGGCAGCTGTGAGCATAATAAATATACTGTACTGTAAAGTAAAACTTTTGTTTTTCTGATATTTCCCATATTTTGTGGCAGTGCGCGAATTGGCCAAAAATAAATAAGTAGGCCTAAATAAATTTGATTGGCGGGTGGGTTTGCTTACGGGTTTGCTGAACAACAGGGTGTAGAAAAAGTCTCGCCTTATGAATGTGTGTGTGATGATGTTCGTCGCATACAACGAAACTTTGATTGTCGGTCACTTAAGCCGGAAAAACGCATCAGCAATGATTGTCGTCAGCTAACGCAATTTTGCTGGATAACAAAATGTGACGAAGCGCATGCAACGGATTGTTTCAATGCGCTGCGCTCAGACTGCCACCGCAAATTTGCAGACGGCGTTGTCAAGCGCTCATAGAGAACCAAGATGGCTGATGTACGGCGCAGTGCCCAGCTTTCTTTACATACACAGTCGTACTATAGACAAAATGCAATTCCACTGGTTCACGCCATCGACAGACACACGTACCTTTCATGAGATTTAACTACCAAAATCTAACCTGAGAAAGTAAATTGTTCATTGAGACATTTATTATTAAATGTAAACTTTTTGGACCATTACCAAGTTATCAATAAATACAGTATACAGTAAAAATAAATAATTTTATTCTTACACCTAAGCCGAAAGTGCTATTCCGAAACGTTTAGGGAAAGCAGGTATATTTTTATGTGATAAAAGAAGGGGAAAAAAAATCAAATTTTCTTCATTTTCTTGTTAATTTGTCATTTTAGCTTTTGATTTATATGGATGTATATATTATATGTAGTGTGTTGCTGTAAAAGTGTACGTCCAAATATATAAATATAATCGAAGAGTATAGAATCCTTCTGTACTCTTTGTAAGCATGGACCGTAAAATGTGTGCTGCAAAGTTTTGATGCAGTATATTTTGCCGTCAAACTCTGTTGTTGGACGATGATATACCTGAAAAAATGATATAGCGCCCTCTCTAACGATCAGCAACCTGGTATTTTCGTGGATGGATGTTTTGGCTTTGATGAGCACATTTTTCTTTATTTAATAGTTTCAATGATGATAAATATTTGTCGGATATCTATCCGAAGGTCAATACTTCCTTCTGCCATAAAGTATGTTGGCGTTACGAAACAAGTAAGTATCAAACTTCGTATGACTTGTTAGTTAGCTCGGTAGAGGCTAGGCCTCACTCTCCTATCCTCAGATAGGGCCTAGGCTAACCCAACTGTAACATTAACAAGTTGCCCTGCCGGTGCGGTTGTAGCGTAGGACCTTCCTCCAAGTAGCGTAGGCCTACAGAGTAGGCCTGGCCTACAAACAGCCCTGTCTGGTTGATAATTTACTCATTAGTTAGAATACTGTAGCCAAGGATTGTCCGAAGAAGAATAGGCTAGGCCTTAATTATTAAAAATTAGGCTTCTTCATCAAATTCAAGAAGTTTTGGGTGGCACTGTCATGATTTAATTTTAAATAACCATGTGTGTTTTTTTTTTGTTTTTTTTGTCATTTCAGAATGTATTCGCTGATCTTGTTCCAATGGCCAAATTCAGTATATGGCATACAAGCCATTGTAAATATTTTAGTCGATCATCGTTTTTGAATCAAAATGAACAACAGTTCTGCCGTCCAATCAGCACCAGTTCATGTCGCACATTCATGTCCAATCATGAGGTATCAGAAGGAGCTAAAATTTACCATGGTGGAATATCAAAGAGAGTGCGATTTGTCAAATTCTTCTCAGCATCAACCAGTATCTGTAGTCTGGCTCTCTTCCCAGCCCTCCTGCTGAGCAATGATACAGGCGGATTTGGGATTTTAGGCGTAGTTGCCGGATCGATGGCCTCTGTTATGTTCTTCACTCCATTTTTTCTCCATTACTTCACAAAAGGCTATGTTACAAAAATGTTTTTAAACTATGAAACGAATGTGTACACGGCATATACCATCAGTTTCTTGTTACGGGATCTTAAACATGAATTCCATCAGAAGGACGTCCAAGTACCGAGCGTGGCAAATTTGTTTACATCTTTTAAAGCTAATGGGAGATCGTTCATGGTGGATACGCAGAGTTTTAACAGTGCTAATGACTACGCTCATCTGATGGGGTATGACAAGCTGCCTGATATGGACATGTCAGAACTTCTCAATGATAAAGAGAAATGATAAACATATCAATTACACTAATTGTGATCAGTAAATCATTCTATTGTCTAAAACAAATACAGTGTTCGCATACTAGAACATACTGTGTACACATAGAATATAGCACTGCTATATAACTAAAAGTATTCAATGTCTTCACAACAGTGTTGCATAGAAAAGTGTGCATCCAGCCAAATTGCTGTGCAGACATTTAAGAGTTTGCCATTGGAGGCAGTTGTAGTAGAACAACTCACAAGCCTGCTGAATTGCATAGAGAATTGGTCTACTGTGCAGCATAGGCTTAGCCAGCGAGCCGTCTATTGGACGGCCTACAATTATTTAGGGCGGCCACTTTTAACGCGACAGCTTGGTCTAATCAGCTCAGCCTAGCCTAATTGGGCCTGGTCTACCTTTAGTAAATACTTTATATTCTTCAAATCTAATGAATTTTACATAAAACTAAAGCTAAATCATATTTACGTTTGATAAAAACAGCATTTATTGATTGACTGTACATTGATTTCGAAAGGTCCACTGATTAATCTCAGATAAGAAAGTATAATACATACTCCAAGTATTGAAATATACGCCATCGTTTTGGGATTCAATATTTCGACATTAATTATGTCAACATCAGGAAAGTACATTGATTTCGTTCCAGTATTCAGTGAGGATTCCCAAAGATGGTCGTGGCCCGCCCATCGGGTCAGTGCCACATCCACTGGCTTTCATTTTGGATGGCCTATTACGTTTTTCTGTCTAAACCCCTGCTCCTATGCAGTCATAGAAACTTATATTTATTACCGTGATGGAGACATTTACGATTTGAAAGCCAAATAATGATACAAAACAATGTATAAATATTTCCATAACATAAATTTAATATGAAATAAAGCAAGTTCAGTTGATTGGAACATATTATCTAATTGTCTTATTAGCAATGAACAAAACATCATACAACAAATTTATATGACCACATTTGTAACTTTTGGTTTCAAAGCAGCTGTTATGTTACTTTAATACTATAATAAACATCGTGTACATCAGTCTTAAAATTTAATTTTGATTGGATGTTATTTTATGTATGGATGGAATTAAGACAGTAACATCATAATTAATTGATTAAATACTGGTGTAACAATAGCCACTGCCTAAAAGAAAATGTTTTTGTGTTTTGATATGCATAATAAAGAATTCAATAATGCCATGGGACTACTCATTATTACTGTTATTTGATTTTATTATTTGGCATCATAAAACCATAGCTCAAGTTAATATCATTAGTACATATTATGTATAATGATTCTGTATCCACCTTCATCACATGGACAAATCCATTTGGCAATACAGGTACTGTATATCTATTATACAATACAGTTAAACTTGCGCAAGTCGAATCCAAAATGGCATTGAAAAATTGTTCGACTCGGATAAAATTTGACTTGCAGATTGCCAATTAATGGAAACACAACAGTTTGGCATGTAAAATAAGATCGACTTAGGTAAGCTTTACTGTAATATATTCAGTAATCTTTTTTTATTTCATAAATATCAGTGTCCTCCCAAATCTGCATTTGCCAGTGTCCTTGCCGGCCTAAATCCATAGTGGATTTTGCCCCACCTTCCTCGCCTATTCGATCTGGAGAGTAAAAAATGAACAGTGTCTACTTCACGGAAGGCAGACCAAACTTTCTGGAAGGTTGGGAGAGTGGGTTGGACCGGAATGAAAGTCTACCATCTGTAGTTTCACACATTAAAAAGTCAACAGGGATCTTGGTTTTTAGCTGTACATAAGTAAACAGCTGTAGGCCTATTTTAGTCATTTAAACATTCAACTTCAATGAAACATAATAGTTTGTTGTACAGGTGCATTTTCTTTAAAAAATCAATATTGAACAATGTATGCTGATATTTAACTGGAAATGTTCATTAAATTCTAAGCCTATATCTGTCAGCTACTGCACAACCACCGTCAACTAGGCTATCATGTGCAGGTAATAATTTTTGGGTTAATTTTAATAAACCCAATATACAGAGCTCAGTTTTAAGAGTTTTCTAATTAATTCTCTTCACTGCATGTTAATCCATTTGTTGTTTTTTGTATTTTATTCTACAAAATCAAATAGGTGTTTGAATGAACGTAATTCATTGATGAAACAGGCCTTCTTTGTTTTAATTCAATGTGTTCATGAGATGGCCTTGTTGATTCATTATTTTATGCTTTATTAGATAATCATCATGAGATGATTTTTTAATAAACAAAGTATAATGTCAATATTGCCTCAGCCTGGATTGTGCAGAACATTATAATATTACTATAATAAAATGGACCACATGATTTTTGCTTAGCTTTTTTTTGTTTGAAAAAGAATTTTGGAAACTCAATGCGCAACAAGCCTAAGAGTGCTATTTCTGATGCCAATGAGAACATTACTGTAATTAGAGTCAAGTAAATATAACATTTTCATAAATAATGTAAATTACAAAGCATCTACAAAATCATTGCCAAAAAGTGCACTTGATAATACAGTAATAATAATAATTAAATTATAGAAATACAAGTGTAAAACAAATGTAAAAATGTTCTATTTACAAGGGTAAAATGTGAGATACAAAGTATCAAAATAAATAATTTCTTTGCATAAAATAATTTCTGATAAAAGAATTAATTTCAAGTGCAAGTAAGCAGGAGTATGCAAAAACTAATAAATGGATGATCATAAAATTTAGAGTGGATTTGTACATTCCAAAATTGTAAAACTTAATTGATTCTAAATGAAATGCGCCAAAAAATTACCAGAATTAATTTTTTAGTTCCGATGAGGAGCTCTGGAAACACTCGGCTGATTCGTAAATCTTTTTTAGCTCTAATGCCTCTATTATACTGCCCTCATGAGGCTGATTGATTAATAGTTGATTGGTTAAGATCTTTTTTAGCTCTACTGCCTCTATTATACTGCCCTCCTGAGGAACTCTAGAAACACTTGGTTGATTAATAGATATTTTTTTTTTTGCTCTACTGCCTCTATTATACTGCCCTCATCGGAGCTTTTGAGATTACGAGAATTTGTTTTTTTATGGAGAACACTGATATTAAGTTTTTTATTTTTTGACTCTTCATAATTTTTTTTACTCATAATTAATGCTCTTTCTAATAGTTAAATGTTATTGATATTATTTGCTGGTTGCAGATTCTTTTATGCTTTCATCTTGGTCACAGTGAGGTAGGTTCACTCTCCTTGCAAATGTTTCAGCCACAAGTAATGGAAAGATGAGTGTTGCTTCGCCGTACACCTTAACTGGTTGAGCCGTCTTCCTAATTTTGCCCCAAGAGACTGCCTCATCAGGCCTAGCGCCCGAGTCAGAGCCATCAAACTCCTGGGCAGTGTTTACAAACACAGCAAAATCCGCTCCATTCCTCATGAGATTGGCATTGCAGATGTGATGTTTAATAACGCCACCACCCAACAGTATCATACCCGTGTGAGATGCATAGACAGCTTGGCTGTTCATTAATCTTATATCTTCAGCAATGTCTATATTTAGGCCTGGATTCTTGTATGAATGAAAGTACACCATATCACCAATTGAGCCATCTGTTATTGCTGGACAAAACACTGGAATATTGTTCTTGTAGGCCCAGTACCAGACGGACTCAGGATTGTTAATTTCTTTCCCGAACCTTTTTATCATTCTTGATGGTGTCCATTTAGTGCCCTCAGTATTTTGTTCCTTTAACATGTCATTCAAGATTGGGATGATCCAGTCCTCAAACTTGCAGTAATTATCATTAGGAACTAACAAGTTGCCAATTCTGTTGATCCCTTTTTCACGGAGGGTGGCACCCTTTAGATGAAAGTCTCCAATATACGTCTTTCCTAGACATTTAATCAGATCCTCCTCAATCCCACCAGCAGTGGTTACTATACAATCTACTAGATTATGTTGTACAATAAACTTGAGGATCTCCCTAACACCAGATGAGATCAAATTTGAGGTGAAACCTAGGAATATAGTACAGTTGGTCTTGGTCCTATGACACGGGTTCAGCTCTGTACCACTTCTGACCTCCTCTTCACTAATTGGTTCTGCTCTTTTATCAAGCATTTTGTTTATTTCTTCTACTGCCTTTCCAAAGTTAGTAGCTTGAAATCCAGTGGTCAAATAAGACTGCATGAGTGCATGATAGTTGATGCCCTGGTTAAAATCGTAACCTTTGACCGTGACAGAATCTGCAGGCATCTCTGAACTTTGAACTAACACAGCATCTTGTGCAACTCCTGGAATGTTTTCCATGATGATGGTATCACTTCCAAAGGGCAGTCAGGAATAAGTCAGCCTGAAAAAAAAGTAAAAAACAAAAAACTCTTTGTTTAAAGTTTGTAGGCAAAGAAAGGAATCTATTAATTAACGATATGGAAGTCAAATTTTATCTACATCAAACAATTTTTGAATGCCATGTTGTTGTTAGGCAAGTTCAACTGTATAATGAACCAATTACATTTTTCCCCAGAATGTTATCTGGGTAAGAGATTGTCTACTGCTGCTATCGCCTGATAAAAGCATAATTTTTTTACACACCAAAATGGATAGGAAATGACAATAACATGACATTATATTTATTTAGCAAGTTAATTTTGGATCAAGTGCAATCCATGGAACGCTAATATATTCTGCATCAGCTGCACGCCTAGTCTAGGCCTAGATAATTAGGAGGCTACGTCCGAGGCCTCCAGCTGTGTCTGTACCTCCCATCATCGGCTAGTTAGTAGGCCTAGCCCAGGCCTAGTATTAAACACCACCGGGGTGTGAGACAACACAAAACCTTACTACAAGGAATAGGTACTTACTTATTAATGGGTAAGATTAATTGCTAAGAAGAAAGATTTAGATGACTGGAGGATGCTTCACCGTGGAGTTTCTGATTCTGAAAATGCGATGTGACTGCATCCCATGCTGCAGTGTGGTTGCACAACACGGTGACAGTGCTGATAACTATGAGGCGTCAACTGTGCTTAAGAGTACAAGTTTTTTAATCATGCCAATAGGCCTTTTTCACCCCGCTGCGGTAGACATCTTCGATCGATGACGAACAGTGCTGAGCAGCGAAGCGTAACCAATAGAAATAACATAACGTTTCGACCATATTTTCGGAGGTCATGTTACTTAACAAATCATAAATCCTTAACGGAGGGTCGTATCAACATAATTTTTTCTTTAAAATGTTCGCAAAGGATATATCTACATACTGTATGAATAAAATATCCCACAGGGTTCTGTTTTGGGTCCAATTCTGTTTACTATTTTTATCAATGATTTACCTTTAGTATCTGACTCTTCCGTAAGATTGTTTGCAGATGATATAAAGCTTTTTAGAGTTGTAGACTCGGTTGATGATAGATTCCGTCTTCAGGAAGATATTAATGCCTTATGTGAGTGGTCTCGAAAATGGAATTTGCCATTTAATAATGACAAATGTAAAGTTGTTCACTATGGAAAAAATAATCCAAAATGTTCCTATTTTATGTTTGATACTGAAATTCAGGCAGTTGACAGTGTAAAGGATTTAGGAGTTACCTTTGATTCCAGTCTTAATTTTAGAATGCATGTTGCCGATGTTTGTAAGAAAGTTAACCTCCCGTTAAGGATATATGATTTTTTGAGTAACATGACCTCCGAAAATATGGCTGAAACGCTATGTTATTTCTGTTGGTTACGCTTCTCTGCTCAGCATTGTTTGTCATCGATCGAAGATGTCTACCTTAGCGTGAAAAAGGCCTATTAACCAGTGGTCGCGTGGTGGTCACAGGGGGAAAATTTTCTCCGTCGTTCTATACCTCCTGTCTTCCGACGCAACGGTGAGGTCGTCGGATCAAAATATTAATTTGCCTACCAAAATCAATGTCCTTCTAAACCCTGTGCAATTTATCAAACTTTTTTAAGCCCTTTTTTTATACATTTTCCATTTGCTAGTCCTTGTAAAATTGTATATATATTAATGTGAACCTTCTGGAATAATTAAAATTAAATACAACTCATTCAGCTGTAATTTACCGCAGTTTGTATTTTTTTTTATGTTGTAAAGATAGGCCTATGTGCAATTTAATAATTTGAAAATTCTGAATTTGAAATATTCTTTATTTTGTTTTTATCTAATTTTACGATTACTATTTTAAATATGTTGTATGCGCGATTTTTTTATATCTGTTCTATTGTATTATCCAAATGATATATTTTCATTCGTAAATTTGAATTGAATTTTGAAAAATCCTTGTCCAACGTTATTCTGATTGCCAATCCCTAATAATTGTGGTCTAATTTGGGCCATACTATACTAAGCCATTAAAAAAAAACGTTCTCCGTGATGAACAGTACCAGAGATTTTTATTTCGGAACCCTTACCGAGCTAGGCTCTTACCGGCCTATCTAGAGGCGTTGGCTGTCTATCAAAATGCTAAAAGCTCATGACGAGTTCTTCAAACACAATCGAATGTTTATCGCTGTGGCTGGAGGCTTCTTTTTTTTTTTTTTACTTTCAAAAAATTTACAGTTTTTGAGGAAATAAGTACATAAAAAAAAAACTGTACTGTAACGCGCACAGATATACTGACATAATAATGATATATTTCTGCAGTACATATACTTTGTTTTCTAAAGCACACTCGGCGCCTCATAGTTAAACGAATGCGCTACCACCGTCTATCGTGTTGTTATACTGAAAAAAATCATTCATTCATTTAATCGCCGCTAGGCTGCTGCCACTTGTTGAGTTAAAAAGGAGGTATTGTATAATAATATTGGTAGCTACCTAGGCCTACAACATTATTTTACGCCTTGGCCTAATATAGCCCGTGGAGCTAGGCATAGGCCTAGGCCTAGTTAGGAATTAGTAGGCCTACAAACAAGTTTGCGTGTCAAAAATGTGTGCGACACTACCAGCCGGTACCGGTGTTGGGCCTCAAAGTTTTTGGGCGGTGTCATGCATAAAATAGAGCCGAGGCCCAGCCCTAGCTAGGAGGGCTTATGATTTAGATTGAGATGGGTTTAGATAACTGTCAGTGACGTGGCTTTAATTAAATAGTGAACTTATGAAGTGTAAAGTACTAATATGCGTTTCAAATTTCTAATAATCATAAAGTTAATTCTTCAACTGAACGACAAATAAATAGCTTGCAATTGTAATGAAT